ATGGGCACCACGGGCACCTGTGGGGCGGGCTGTGGGTCAGGAGGGTCCCACAGCCCCAGAGCCACCCCATAGCACCCCATAGCACCCCATGGCACCCCACAGCACCCCACAGTGCCCCACATACCTGGGCCTGCACGGCCAAGTGGAAGGCGCCGCGTTTGAAGGGCAGCATGGAGCCGCTGTGGTTCCGCGTGCCCTCAGGAAACACCCACACCCGAACCTGTGGGGCAGAGAAATGTGGGGCTGACCCACAGCATGGTCATGGCTGCCCCATGGCTGACAGAACCAGCAGGGACCCCTCACTGTGCCCCACATCGCCATGGGGTCAACAGGGTGTGCTGCCCCCCACAGCACCCCGCTGCCCCATAACTGCCCCCAAACCATGCCATAACTGCCTCATAGCACCGCACTGCCCCATAACTGCCCCACAGCACCCCACAGCCAGCCCTACTCATGGCCATGACGCTGCTGGTGCCCTTGCTCCTTCCAACCCCATAACCGCCCCATAACCCATCCCAGCCCTACATCCCAGCCCCATAACCCCATCCCAGCCCTACATCCCAGCCCCATAACCCTATTCCAGCCCCACATACGTCCTGGCTGAGCATGGTGTGCGCTGCCTCGGCCATGACGCTGATGGCATCGTGCGTTTTCTTGCGGTCGATGAAGATGATCCCGCCCAGCCAGCAGGCCACGCCCACCGCGCCCATATAGAGCAACTCGCGTTTGGCGATGGGGACACAGCGATCGGGGAGCACCTCCATCATCCCTGTTATGGGGTTATGGGGTTATGGGGTTATGGGGTTATGGGGCTGAGTCCCTAAACCCACCCCATAGTGCCCCATATAGAGCAGCTCCCGCTTGGCGATGGGGACACAGCGATCGGGGAGCACCTCCATCATCCCTATGGGGTTATGGGGTTATGGGGCTGAGTCCCTAAACCTGCCCCATAGCCACCCCATGTACAGCAGCTCCCGTTTGGCGATGGGGACACAGCAATCGGGGAGCACCTCCATCATCCCTGGGGGTTATGGGGTTATTGGGTTATTGGGCACAGGTTATGGGGTATGTGTGGGGCAGGAGGGATGTGGGGCAGGCTGTGGGTCACTCAGGGGTCAGTTATGGGTCAATCTATGGGGCAGCCCCATACCCAGCAGGTCCAGCGAGCTCTGGTGGTTGCTGACCCCTATGTAGGGTCAGGCTGTGGTCACTCTATGGGGCCAGGGCTCTATAGGATGGGGTTCTATGGGGTCAGGGCTCTATTGGGCAGGGTTTGTGGGTCAGGGCTCTATGGGGCAGGGATCTATGGGTCAATCTATGGGGCAGCCCCATACCCAGCAGGTCCAGCGAGCTCTGGTGGTTGCTGACCACCACG